ATTCTTTATAGCCCAGAAAACTTTTAGCAGCAAAGTAAAAGTATAAATCACCTAGATTTAGCTATAATTCAAATAGTTATCATAGAATAATTAACGTATTCTCTATAGCCAAGAAAACTTTTAGCAGCAAATACAAGGTGTTCAGCAGCAAAGTAAAAGTATAAATCATCTAGAGTCACTATAATTCAAATGGTTATGATAGAATAATTAAGAAATAATTGATCTACCTACCTAGATATATGCACTATTTATCTAGCTAGCTGTGCGAGTAACTTTTTGCAAAATAAGCGTTCTAAATGATTTCACATTATTATATCACATAGATGGATTTACTTTCATCTGAGATTGTAAAGCAATTGAGCATAGGAAACTTCTTGATTGACTAACCGTGTCATTGACACAATAGGGACTACCACCATCTTGATAAGATTTCTCCAATACATTTAACCACAACGCTAGAAATTCTTCATGAAATTCTTTTATTTGACAAGCCATCAAAGGAAGAATTAGTACATTACACTAGTGTAAAAGGCAAACTTATCGATATACACTGATCATGACTGCACGACTGTAAAATGGTTATCAAGTAAATTAAGCCTGCGACGCATAGTAAAGTCACTTCCATACTTTTCGTTTTTTTGGCGCCTTGAAAGTAAATAGCAACCAGTTTTTCCAATAAATCACAGGCAGCAACGATCATCATTTGGATCTTGTACTCTTCTTGGCTGTTATTGCTATGGAAACCTGTATTAAAATTGAAAAATTAAATTATAGTCAGAAAAGAAGTAGCAGAAAAGAAGTTGAAAGACATATAGTTTAAATCTCTTTGAAACAATTTTATGAGACATCTGTACTATAAAAGGCTAAGCAGTAGTAGTGTACGATTCTGTATATGAGTATGCAAATATTGATGCTGCCGTTACGATATCGTGGCCACTATTTTCATGGAATAGCATTAGAAATAGAAACGCTCATGTAATGAGTAATGAGGTAATATTCATGTGCAGCTAATCTTAAATTAATCAAAATTTTAGAAAGGACTTAATTACTTTTTCAATATTATACGGTTGCTTTAACAGCAGTAGGCAATCTTTGCTTATTAGTATCGTAGACAACATGGCATTTGCAATGCAAGTAACTACAGTCGTAATCAAGCTTTTCTGGTAAGATGTCCATTACTTCAAGGGTGGTTGGTCAATACAATCACAATGCATGCGGATTAAATTACAAAGTAATTAAAGCGTACAAGCATGGTATAACACGAGCAATGACTAAATCCTTTTCTTGAAGTTCGCAGCTTACTATTGCTGCTGTCTAAAGGCAGCCGATTCCCAATGCAAAATGTGGATTTCATAGAAATCATAGTGAATTAAAAATTCAGCGAGTACATTCTGAGACTACTAATGAGAGTAGGTCAAGGAACTTGGCGCTAGGTCTCGACACACTCCAGTCCCGGCCGAAGACTGGTATTACTACTATAGCATATCATTAAATTAGCTTGGTTAATGTTCATGTACAAGGAGTGAGAATTGGTGAAGTTCGCTAATTGAAATGGTTGACATATAAACCAATGAAAGCGCCGAACAACTCTCTAAGAGTTTGTATTCAAGATTATTGAAATCATAAAAAATGCGCATGAGCTTTAATAACATAAAGCATGAAATATACCTAGTTCTTTAGCCAGATAGACAGTAATAGCATGATTTCGACATAATATACG